AATTAATGATATTAGAAATAATGATAATCAGTTTATAAAGTAAAATCCTGATTAGTGTGTTAATATTATGCATATTTCCTGTGCATGTTTCTATAAATAACAATTTTGTTTATATATTTATATATAAAATTTATCATTTACTAATCTGTTTAATAAAAATTACTTATATACATGATAACTTTATTTTATTAATTGCTGACAACTTTGATTTTTATAAATATGAGATCGAGAAAATTACAAAATTCTTTCCGCTTTTTTAATCACTTAAATAAATTAAATATTGTATTAAATATTGGATAAATTTAATATTTGCATCAATAAAAGAAATTGTTTACAAATCTAAGCAATAATTTTCTCAACTTTTTTAACATTGAATATTGAACGTCATTGTTATTAGATTTTTAATCTGAATAAATATATCTTGATACTGTGTTTTCATATTAATTCTCCTTAATATCAATCGCATATATCTTATAATCACATATAATTGCTTTCATTATTATAATTCATGCGCGATATATTCTTTAAGTCACAATGGTTAATGTTGCAGGTCAAAAGGAGATATTACACGGAATCAATGGAAGACTTCCAGCAAAACATTTAATCGCCTTAATGGGTCCGTCCGGAGCGGGAAAGTCGACCTTACTGAATATCCTATCGGGGTTCAGGACGACTGGTGTTGATGGAAATATCAACATCAACGGTCACGCTCGAGAAATAAATTCTTTTCGAAAGTAAGCATTTTTTATTAGTGAATATGATTATATATATGATTATATAATATTTTTATATTATTAAAGATTAAATTATTTTAAATATCATTATATACTGTAGTTAATAAATTTGAAAAAATTTCAAAATCTTGAAAGTTGACCGTGCATGAATTATTTTTTATTATATAAATTTTTTTTTTGTTATTTATAAAAAATTGTTTCTTCTATTATATTATTATATATTATTATATATTATATATATATATATATCTTTTATTTTAAAGTTTTATTTTCATTACATTTTAATTTTTTTTAATAATCTTTTATAATTTTTTTTTGTTATTCTTGCTTTCTAAAAATTTTTTAATTTTCTTTTTTTTAATATTTCGTTAAACTGAATTATGTTTATTGCATTTTTTTTAGAAATATTTTATACAGTTTTTATTATTAGTGAATTATGAAATATGAAATGTCGACATTATTTATATAACAGATATAATTAAATTTTATATATTTTATATATTCTTATCTGTAATTATTGTTTCATATAATACGTATCATGTAATCATTACAGATGTAGCGCATATATCACGCAAGATGACCGTTTGGAAGCTCTGTTGACGGTCAACGAGAACATGACAGTCGCAGCTGACCTCAAGCTGCCCACGAGCACCCCCAGATACGAAAAGGAAGCGATAGTGAGTAACAATTTATTCTCGAGGTCAACTAGTAAGATTTCAATATCTTTTATTGCATCGCTGGTAAATTACAACATGGAAATACAATAAGATAAAAAAATTTCTATCATAACATATTTAAATATATATTTATACTATTTATTCAAGAAGAACTTTAAGACGCTTTTTTTGAATAAAATATTTAATTAAATTTTACATTCTTTGTATTAAATTATATTGAATTCTTAATACTTCGATTTTTTTTAATATAAATTTCACTATAAATATTATTGTTGTATCTTAAAAATTAAAGAATACAACATATTTCATAAGTTAATATTATCAACAAATTCTTATTTTTTGAAAAATATAGAATCTGAAGATTATCAATAAGACATCTTATGTTATATTTAAATAATAATTTTTTGAATTTAAAGAATTGTTTATTTGTATCTTTTTAGATTGAAGAAATTCTCACTACCTTAGGCTTACGCGAGCACATGAACACTCAAACTGGTAGATTAAGTGGAGGACAAAAAAAAAGACTGTCTATTGCTTTGGAGTTAGTTAATAATCCGACTGTTATGTTCCTTGATGAACCGACAACGTCAGTATAAATATTGATTTATATGTTATTTTAGTATGTTATATATTATAATACATTTAATATTATACTATTATTTATAGATTTATATTATATTTTTATTATATATAATGAATATTTCAGAGGTTTGGATAGTTTATCATGCACACAAGTAATAAATTTATTAAAATTACTTGCACGGCAAGGAAGAACAATTATCTGCACAATTCATCAGCCTAGCGCAACGATTTTTCAATTGTTTGATCTGGTACGAGGTATTCTTTATCGTAACTTTTTTTTACATTATTTGCTCATAATTGCTATATTTTATTCAATATTATATTTGCTTAATTTTATGATTGCAGGTTTATATATTATCAAAAGGAGAATGTCTATTTCATGGTTCAACCGATCATTTAGTTTCCTATTTAGAAAACATCAAATTGCCATGTCCTGTGTATTATAATCCAGCTGATTATGGTATATGTTATTGTTAAATAAATGTTATACATATTTATTTGTTTACCTAATCAAATATAATATTTCTTCGAAAATATTATGTTTGTAATGATCCATTGTTAAAACTTCTTTATAGAAGTATTAAGAACTTTTCTTCTTTTTAGAATCTATAACAAATTAGATTAATATAATTAGATAAAAATATGCTAAAGAGGAAAACATTTTTTATACATATTTTTTATATTTATTCTTTCTTTTTTTTTCTTTGTAGTAATTGAATTGGCTTGCGGTGAATATGGAAAAGATAAAATATCGTTATTAGTATCAGCTGCAGAAAATGGCAAGAATTTACAATGGTTCAAAAATTCTAATACTTTATTAGAACCGAATGGTCTAAAAAGTATGTTTTCGTTTATTGTATAATATTATATATAAATTATATAATAAAAAAAAAGAAAAATATATTAGTAATATTATATAAAAATTAAATTAATAATAATATAAGTAATTAGATATTGATTCAAATAATTATATTTTTTCTTTTACAGCATTGCATTCATATAAGAATTTGAATATAAGTAATAAAAATAGTCTTCAAGCAACTCCTGTAATACATCAAATCAAAATTTTAATGAAAAGAGGTTTTTTGATGTGTAAAAGAGATACTGTAAGTATTATAAAAATATAAAATTCTTAATTTTGTACACAAATATTAATTAAGTTATTCATTCTACCAAATAATCTACATATTATATAATCTATATATAGTAATTGATATTTCATGATATTGTACATTTAAATTCTATTGTTTTAGTATATTGTTTTAGTATAATTATATATAAAATATAAATATAAATTTTTTTTTAATGTGTTATCATATTTTTTTGTTAAAGACATTAACACATTTACGAATCTTAGCCAATATAGCCGTCGGTTTAATGCTTGGCCTGGTATTTCTCGAATCGGGTACAGACGGTGCCAGAGTGTTAAGTAATTATAATCTTTTGTTCTCCATTCTCATACATCATATGATGACCACAATGATGCTTACTGTAGTTACTTGTACGTAATTTTAGTTATTGTATATGTTTGTAATTTAAAAATATTTTTAAATTACAATATAATATTAAATAATGTTCACAGTTCCCATGCAAATGAGCATTTTATTAAAGGAACATTTCAATAGATGGTACAGTTTAAAAGCATTTTACACGGCTTTATCGTTGGTCGACTTACCACTTTCGATATTTTGCTGCTTAATTTTTACTTTGATTGTATATTTTATCACATCTCAGCCATTAGAAATGTCACGATTTCTAATGTTTTTTTCAATTAGTTTACTGGTAGTTTTAATATCTCAGGGATTTGGTCTTATGATTGGAGCAATATGTAATGTAATTGTGAGTATATTTTTATTTTATCATGTAGAAAATATTTAAAATAATATAAAAAATTAATATAAAAAAAATTAAAATAGCAAATATTTGTTAAATTTTAGAATGGAACTTTCGCAGGACCAACTTTATCTGTGCCAATGATGATGTTTGCAGGTTTTGGTGTATCATTACGTGATATACCAATTTATCTTAAATGGGGTACATATATCAGTTTCTTGCGATATAGTTTAGAAGGGTAATATTTTTTTTATAATATTTGAATTCTGTAATGTGATAGAAAATGTGATAAAAATAATGCAAAATGATAGATTTCTGTTATTCTGTTATATTTTGTTCTGTTTTTAATAACTTTTTCTAAATATTTAATACTTAAATATATATTATTTTTGTATTCCGATATTGATATTTTGTAAATTAAATATTTTCGATATATTATAATCTTTTTTTTTTTTACAATTTCGTAGATATATCAATGCCATATATGGACTTGATCGACCAGTGTTACCCTGTAAAGAAAAAGTTATATATTGTCATTATAAATATCCAACAAAGTTTCTTTCTGATATTGCTATGGAAGGTGATCAATTTTGGAATGATATCGTAGCGCTTTCCATAATACTTATCATAACACGGTGTTCTGCATATTTATTTCTTAAATGGAAAATTATATCTGTTCGATAAACCGATCAAAACTCGTTGATGTTCCTTCAAAACTGCCATTCTAACGTGATTTCTTTATATGATAATTTAACTATAGGATATTATGTGAGGTGAAAATGAAAAATGTATATATCTATTTATATTCATCTAGTTTCGCTATTATATCTATTACAGGGTTTGTTTTATAATAAAATAAGATACATAATAAAATTTTTAAGAAATTGATAATTTCTTACAAATTTTCGAAAAAAATAAATATATTGCGCATTTCAAATTTTATCGAAAACAAATATTATTTTATTAAATTGAATATAATAAAATATATACATAGATTTGTTATATATTATTTGATTTACGATTCTGAATTCGCAATATATTTGAAACAAAAAGTTACGAATTATTTTTTAATTAATAATTGATAGTAATTTTGATTATTAAGAATTGTAATAAATTTTATGTTGAATATTGGATACTTTTTATTTTAAAATTAATATACGAAATTATCATTAATGCTTTATGATCAAATATAATTTGTATTTATAATAATGATGCAATAATGTTTTGATAAAATGAATGATTTCGTGGTTAGATCTTCTCTTTTATAAATGAAAAAAAATTATTGTATTATATATTAATATATATATATTTTATAATTATTATTTTATAATTATGTATATAAATATAATATATTTATAATAATATTTTCCGAATTATTCGGAAATTAGGCGTGATATTTAAAAATTGCTCAATAGAAGTCAATTATCAATGCAATTATTTTTTTTATTGCAAATTTATAAAAAATTAAAAAATGATTCTTAATTATATATTAAGTATACTTCTGTATGCGATTATATATGCTCATTTTTTTATAACATAATTTATGACATCATAAATTTTTCATACTTGTAATTGTCATTTATGCGTATATATATATATTTAAAGTATTTTTATATAATCCTTTCTATTTTATATATCTAATATATATTATATCTATCTAAGATATATTATATATCTAATATATTTATATTTGGGATCAAAAATGTAGTTAATTACTTATTATATATAATAATTCGATATCACAAATTTTTTTTATTTCTTAAACTATAATACAAATATATATTTATAGAACTTACATTTATATATATGTATTTATATAATTCTGTGATTTCCATAATTGAAAAAAATATTTTTGAAAATATGAAACTTATAATAATTGTTCATTGATTATGAATTAGATTTGCTTTTAGCAAAGATTATTCCACCTATTTATATAATATTAAAAATTGATAAATTTACTTACTTATTAAAACTCATAAATTTTGTTTAGTTATTAATGAATATAATGAATATAAGTAATATTAGTTATTAATGAATATAAATATATATTTAAGAGATTAACTAAATTGAAAAAAATTGTGAAAATTAATTCAATATTGATGAATATAAAATTATATTAATAAAAAATCTATTTTTATTATCTAATCTATTAAAGTTTTATTTCAAAGTTGAAAATTGAAATGAAAACTTCATAGTTTTCAAGTTGAAATTAAAATCAAAACAACATTTAGAAATATTGCTTATATACACAAAGGAAATATTCTCTGTTCTTATCTATTTATATAAGATTCGATAAACGTTATCATAACATGTGTAGTATTTGAAGAGAAACTGTTCAGTTTAATATTAATTTTCTTCTAATAATAAATCGAATAATTATAATTCGATTTTATTAATATTTCAAAATTTGAAAAATTTATAAAATAAAATTCATTAAATAAATAATAAAATTCATTATTGAAAAAGAAGATCTCATTGTTTTATAATTATCTATAATAAGCTTCTAATCAAGATATGATATATCTATTTTCTTATTTGTTTTATTTCTTAATTGAAATAATATATATAAATTGGATCATATCAGATAGATAAAAAAATAATGAATAAATAAGATTAAATTATATAGTTACATATTAATATCTAGTTATTATTCTCTATGAATACTAAAATCTTAATATTTTATCATATAAATTTCATAATAATGAAGTAAAAGAAATAAATAATTTATTTTGCTGTAAATAATATATATTTCTATAGCAAAATAAAATATATAAATAGATAAATAGATAATCATTTATAAATTCTTGTATCTGTCTTGTTTCTATGTAATCAAATATTTTTTATTATAAATTAAAAACATATGTATTTTATTATATCTCATATTATTTTAATCCTTTGTATATTTGAAAATTTATCAATGTAATAAAATATTATTAAAATAGGATATTTTAATAATATTAGGATATTTTAATAATATTTATTAAAATAAGAAATTTAAAAATATTAATATTAATAAGTTTTTTTTTATAAAAATATTAGAAACATGAAAAAATAAATATACATACTAAATACATCATTATTTAGCTTTGTGTGTTTTCCATTTAAGTACTAAATATGTCATAATTTGTAAACATAATATCCAAAGACATAAACCTAAAATAATTGTGTAATAAGAAATTTTAGGCATATCCATTTCTTCTAGAATTTTTTTAGGTGAACGTAAATGACAATAGATTTCATAACATCGCAATTTTTCTCTATTTCCATCATAAATTGCTTGCAGAATACCTTCAAATGCATATCTATATCAAAAATAATTTTGTTGTATAATTAATTTTATATAAAAATAACAAATCTTTAGTAATTAATATACCTAAAAAAACTAATGGCACATAAAGGTTGAAGATATGATACCATCTCGCTAAATTTCAGGAAAAATCCGGCAAATAGTATCATTGGCATATTGAAAGCAGGGATTAAAAAGATACCTAACTGAAAATATTAATTAATTTTTTTAATACGCTATTTTACAAAACATATAATATATAATAATTGTTATTAAATTATATGAAATATATAAATTTATTTGCGATATATGAATTAATATGATATAATGTAATGTATTATTATTTCAATGATCTATTTGATATTATAAAATCAACAATTTAAATATGTTTCAAATTATTTATTACTTGCGTATCGAATGCAGCACCAACGAGCATTCCCGATGATTGTCCAAGAATCGTTATTAAAATACAAATCAACCAAGTATGTAAAAATCTATTGAATTCCATTGGTTGACCAGTCATGTAATATGTAATGATGATGAACACTGAAGGTATGATAATCTATAAAGATATTATTATTATATTTAAAATGATTTTATTTTTTTTTTTGAAAAAATATTAATATTATTATTTCGCATACTTGTAATGGTAAATCTGATAAAACTTTCACCAAAAAATAAGATTTTAAACGATACCAATTATTTAAATACTCTCGTAAGAAAACAGCAGTTTCTACGGGAACTGAAAATATAACGAAGATTAATGTTGAATCAATTAAATATTTAAATATTGCAAAAACAGTGTTAATAAATATTTAACTTACACATTTGCACAGCCGGCATAGAATTTGCAAAATATAAAAACAGTAAGATGAAAAATATACAAGCTATATTACTGTTAGCTTTATTAGCATTAGTTCCAGAATCATAAAAAACTACACCTAGTAGAAGAGCTACTATTATATGAGCTGCAAATCTTAATTTTGTTAAAGTCTATAAAAAAGTAAAATATTTTATACAAAAATGAAATATAAAGAAAATCGAATTTATATTTGATCGAAAAGATATATAACTTTTGATGTAACAACTAACATTGTCTCTTTTAATACAAATTATTGCTCTCAATAATAAAATCTTCTGTTCGTTCCACATAAAATATAATTTCGATTTGTTGATAATATTCAAATTTGGAGTAGATGTAATATCTGTTGCTAAAATATGATTTCTATTATACTTTATAATTGTTAAATTGTGTAAATATAAGTTTAAATTAAAATATAATTACTTATAATAGAATGTTGGAAACATATTTTCCATTTTAAATATTTATCATGACTAATTTTGCGTAGATTGTTTAAATCACCATTTCTTTCGCCTATCACTACTTCTAGAACTATAAAAAAATTAAAGATATCAAATAATTCTAATGTTAATGTTATTTACATTAATATATATTATATAATTCTAATATTATTAATTATTAATATATATTATTGCTTACTAAATTCAGATATATTATAAAATTGAGGACACAGATAGCCTGCTTCACTAAAGGTACAAAAAACATCATTCCAAGGTCCACAATAGAAGGAAATTCCATTGTGTATAACTAATAAATCATCAAATTGTGATATTATGCGACTGCTGGGTTGATGAATTGCACAAACAATCGTACAACCTCCTTTTGCTATTTTATGCAATAATTCGATTACCTATTTGAAAAATTCGATAAATCATTTCATAAATTGCTCCTTAAAATTATCAGACGTGATATATGATTAATAGACCTGATACGAGGATGTACTATCAAGTCCACTGGTTGGTTCATCTAATAATATAACAGATGGTTTTGTAATTATTTCTACGCCGATTGACAATCTTTTATGTTCTCCACCGCTTAAATTTTTTACTAAAGTATTTAAACAATTCGTCAAATTTAAATTTTCCGCTATTTCCATTATCTGTAACATTAAATTCATAAAAAAGATGCCAATATATTCATGAGACATCTTTGGAGAGTTGATTCTAGAAAGTATATATATATGTATAAAGATATCTAATATTCATATTATATAAATATAATATATGAATATAAATATATGAAGTAAGTATTCAAATTTATTGCTTTTGCATTAAATTAATATTTAAATATGAAATTGCAATATCATGAGATCAAAAATTACGAAAAAGAAGAATAATTTTAGTGAATTTTGCTAAAAAATGTATATACAAATATATCTATTAGAAATATCTGATTAATAATTGATTCAAATATTTTTTTTAATGAAAATAACATTTTTTTCTTTTAGCATATATGTTTCTAATACAGTTTATCTGTGGTTTTAATTTGATAAGAGCAAGAAATGTATAAAGTTTAAAAAATGATTTTATTTCTTCAATATATATTTAATATATATATTGTTCAATAACTTCTTAAAAAATAAAATATTTTAAAAATATGTTTATTTCTATTATCTCTATTTTTATAATAAAAATATTTTTTTTAAACATAATCTTAATAAAATTGTTTAAAATCATTATGTACAATAAAAATATAAAAATGAATGTGCAATAAATATTTTAATAAAAATGAAATAAATATATAATATTTATAATATATTCATGAATTAATCAATAAAAAATTTCTTATAGAGAGATTATATTAAAAATGCATGGATTTCAATAATTCTAATAAAATACAAATAATCTCTCTTTATTTTGAGTGTAAAAATCAATTACTTTTATTTGATATTAATTTAATTATTATTAAGATCATATTAAATATCTAATTTGAATAAAAAATGTTTAAAATTATAAGTAAAATAGAGCCATCTCATTTCATTTAGTAAATTACTCACTGAATTATTCACATTAAATTACACATATTAAATTTATATTTATTTAAATTTATTTATTATATTTATAATTTGAAAAATATACCTTTTTGGATGGACATTTTTTTCATATTAACTTTTACGTTTATTTAATAAATCTGCCGATTATCTCTCTGCTACCGATTTTAATAAATAATTGAAATATAAATTATAAATCAGTTTGAGCAATTTTTTATCATCAATTGATATCAAAAATTTTTTTCAAATAACTTGAAAATTAATCCAATGGCCTTTTTATATATAAAGAAAAAAGTTATTCAAAATGATATCTTTACCAATATATTTTAAGTTCAATAAGATCTAATAGTATATTTATTAGAAATATATCTATTAGAAATATTTGATTAATACTGTAATTGAATAATTTTAATTAATCTGTAAATTTTTCATATAAAATTTCTCAACAAATTTTTTTCCCTATACAAATAAAAATTTTCATTGTAAAATTTCATAAAAATTTCTAAAAAAATTTAAATTAACCTACAATCAGATTAATGGCATATGGTTCATGAATATTTTTAACTTTCAAACGTGCTGCAATATATAATGTTTCTTTCGCAGTAAGCAAAGGTAATAAAACAAATTCTTGTGGCAGGAAACATGTTTGTTTTCGAAAAGCACTACCATTCCATTTTTTACCGTTAACGATAATTGAACCTTTGACATTAGTGGTTTTCAAAGAGCATATAGTACGAAGTAATGTAGTCTTTCCTGCACCAGAAGGACCAATAATTGCCATTAATCTTTCGGGACGAAAATATCCTGTCACATTTTCTAATATCTTCTTTGATTTTCCTAAAAAAAGGAAATTGAAATAAATAAATAATGCAGATATATTTGTTGAAGTTTATTTGACAATTATCGGTTTGCTATATCCATTGTAAAATTAAATTGCTTATATAAATTTAATTTAAGAAACTTCAAGAAATATTTTTGTGAATTATTTTAATCTTTAGAATTTCTAAAATTTTATTTTTTAAATTTCACATTTTTTAAATTTTATTTACTTCATTCAAATAATATATATATTATATATTAAGACATTTATTACAAAATGGATATTTATTCAACATTGTTCAAAATTTTTCAAAAAAAATTTTTTTTTTAAGTATCGATCTTATAAATATTTACTTTTAAGAATATTTTAATTCAATTCTTTTCTTTATTCTATTTCTTTTTATAACAAAATCTATTATATTTATTTACAGGAGCCGTTAAATAAATACATATAATTATTTTCGTTTATTGTGTTTAACAAAGAAGATATTTTATATTTTATATATAAATTATTTTTGATAATACTAATAACTCTTTCTTATTTTTTTTTTTGTTATATTTTTATTATTTTATTATTTATAAAATAACAATAAAAAAATTACCTTTTAATTAAAAAAATAAGTTTACTAATATAATTCATCTTCTTATTAAAATTTTTAAATTATATCTTCGACTTTGATATCTGCATTAATTAACATTATTTTTTACTTTAACGTACTCATTATCGTATTTATTATTATACAAGTTAATTTATTAATGTAAACTAATAAAAATAATTACTGGCAATTTATAATATAATAATCTGTATAAATAATTGATTAAAATAAATGAAAATCATCAAAATATGTAGTAAAAAATAAACAAAAAGAAATATCATTTAAAAAAAAACATAAAGAGCGTATAAAATAATATTCAATATTTTTTAGTATACTATGTTAAAATTTAATTTTTAAATTTTTAAATTCAACTTTTCGAATATTTAATATATTATATTTATATTATATTTTTAGTTTTGAATTTTTGTAATTGAAATTTTAATTTATAAATTTGAATATTTATATTGTTATCGAATATCTAAATCTGTATTCGATAAATAAAATAGAAAGCAATTAATGCTATCAATTACAAAAAAAATATATCGTAAAAAAATATATGATAAAATTTCACAATTTTGATTATCATAATTCTTCATTAAAATATAAATAATTTTACTATAATTTTAAAATATTTTTTAAAATTTTATTTAAAAGATTTTTAATAATTAGAAAGTTAATACTGATAAAGCAAAATAATATTTTCTTTCATTTACCGATAAATAAATTTATCCTCTTTTCTCGAACAGTACAGCTGTTCCACTTTCTTTATAAACAGTAAAAATGAAAGTACTTGCCTTTATTGGAATGGATCGTGTATGAGAGATTATTAAACTCAATGTATATTTTGGTAACTGGTTGGTTGTTTGGATTCAAAAAATTCTGATTTTCTCTCAATTGAATGGTGCATCTTTCCTCGTCGATCATTCTTATTGTTGAATCAACGATTGTATCGTAGTGATGTGCTTCCATTATTAAATTACTACGCTTGTTGATTATTAAATCTTAAACTAATCATTAAACCACTGAAATTTAATCTACGACAATGAATATTATGTTGCATTATGTTATCATTCAATAATATAATTATGAGTGATGCACTTTGATATATACAAATTTGATGACAAAATATATTTTTTTTTATTTGAAAAAAAGATTTATATTCAAATATTCAAAAATTCTCTTCACTAAAAATACAAATTGTAGCTAACATACCATATTTATATTTTCAACAAATTTAGATTTCGAAATATTTTAAAGCATAACATTACTATTTTTTAATTTTTAAGACTATTTAATGAATTGTAATTTTAAATTCATTATAGTTGAATTCATTATTGATAGTTTGACATTTTATACATAACAGATTTTATCAATTGATAAAGAATTCATAAACTTAACAGCAAACAACAAAATAAAAATTCATATTATTTATTAGAATTCATATCGAAATGATTATATATTATAAAAAAATATATGAAATAAAAAAAGTGATATTTTGTTTATATTTTATTTGCCGGGAAGAACATTATATTTACTCACCAACGAACAGAAACACACGATATGCTCGAATTCATTATAATGACTGCGACGACCGATATTAACTCTATATTGCAGGGCCGTACAATTTTCTTGTCCGCTTAAAATGATTCAATTCCGTTTGATCTTGAATTATACATAATCTGTTATAACATATGTATATGTATTTTCTAAATATCGTTTTTAAAAATTAGAAAATATTATTCAATCAAATATTATTTCTAATATATTTGAATATACAATCGATATGATAATCAATTTTAATTGATTGATATAGAATTGATAAAATTAGATTTGTTGAAAAAGTATCTTCCTATTGATTTTAATAATATGATATGATATGTTAATAATATGAAGATAAAATTTTAAATTAAAATAATTTTAATTTTATTTTAAATCATTTAAATAATCAGATATTTTAAATCATCAGAAATGCAAAATAAAGAAAAATTTTAATAATATGTTATAAAATTAGTATATTTATTATACATTTTTACACAATATTTAAATCTCATATTTAAATTAAAATAATATTTATATTACGATATTATAAAGAAATCATTTTTTGAATAATTCTTTTTTATAAACAGATTTTCTAAATTTTATCTTAAAATAAAAAAATTTTTAAATATTAAATTTTAAAAAAAATTTTTTTAATTTATCAGCAAAATTTTGAAAATCAAAAATTAATTATTTAATAGATAAATGATATAAGTTTAAATAGAAATTAAAAATAAAGAAACATACTTAATTCTTTAATATTATATTTTTTATGAAAAATACATATTAATTTTTTTATTTATAACATTACATAAAATTTTTATTTTTTTTTTATTCATATTCATATATCGTAGATTTATGAATATGAAATAAACATGAAATATACGAAAAATTAATTATTTTTTAGATATTATCTATGTATATTATATTTTAAACAAAAATAATTTATAGAAAAAATTTGCTATATCATTCGAAACATAGTAGTTTAAAAAGATATCGTTGATTTATGATAATTACTATCTTGTGATAACAGAATTGTTATTTTTATTTCGATACGCATTTCAAAAAAATCATTTTACATAATTATGCTACATAAATAATTATCTATTGTTTTCTTTTTCATAATAAAAATTTTATTAAATGCAAATTTAATTTTTTTTTTTAGTAAATACTTTTTATAAATTTTTTCTTTTTTTATATAGAAATTTTAAAAGCAAATCAGTCTTTAATAATAATTCGTTTATATATATTGTTCTATTTACACTGAACACAGCACGATTGTAAAAAAAATGTTTCATTAATATTTCACTTATAATTTCACTTATAATTTTTTTTTTTCATACACGTTTTTCTAACTTCAATTTCAATAATGTATATGTTCCTATGTCTAACATAACATATAAAGCGACCAACACAATTAAACAAAACCAGTAATTAGCTTGTTTCATGTCTACAGCATTCAAAAGTGTTTCTGGTATTGCAAAATGGCAATAGACATCCGAACAAGAAAGTTTTGGTCTGTCATAACTGAAATTATATAAAAATATTACAATAGTATACATATTAAAAAATTAAATAATTTATTTTATTATAAAAATTATTTTACCCATAAATAGCAATCATTACACCCTCGAAACCATATTTAAGAAACGATAAATGGAATAACCATCTTAAGTATGGATGGGCATCTCTGAATTGAACAAAGAATCCACTAAATATTAAAAATGGAAGAATTGTAAGTGGTCCAAATATCATACCATGCTAAAACAAATATTGAAATAAAATATGACAAACAGATAACTTTAAAGAAATATATTTTTATACGAACCTGTACTTTCATTCCTGTTCCAATTAAAAGGCCAAACGTTTGCGCAACTATACTAACAGCGAAACACATCAGCGTGTAAAGACAAAATCGTTGAAGTTCTAGTAATTGATCACTCATATAATATACAATAAGAATATACAAAGAAATGGCTGTGAATTGAATAGGAATATCAGCTAATTTGTTAGCAAGATAGAAAGAATGTAACTTATACCAACGATTAAAATGTTCTCTCATAATGATTGGTAGCTCCGAGGGAACTATAATAATATGATATTATAATTTGTTATTATCTAATCTAAACAATAATTATTTAAAATACAATTACTTACACGTTGTTACCGTTGCACTAAACGCACTGAACATTAGAAACATTATATTGAAAAACAAAAGATTGAAATTATCCAACACATATACAGCATCTTGACCAACTTTAAAATAAATCACGCCAACGATCAGAGCAATTATAAAATGCATCGAAAGTCGAGTAAATGTTAATACCTATAAAAAAAAAGATCAAAACTTAAATTTGTCTTATTTTCTTAAGATATACAAAAAATATTTCAAGGTATTAAAAAAAAAATCCAAGACTTTAAGGTTTTTTTATAATACCAAGAAATAAAAAAAATCTCGTTAACATAAGTTCTACAATTAATTCTTTTGACATAAAAGTTTTATCATTTAAGAACATTCGATATCGTGAGTGAATTTTTTTACAATATATTGAATGTATGTAAACAAAAGAATTGATTATATTAACTCAAAATTGTCAACACAAGATTATTAATATTAATATTAATATCAATTTCATAAATGTAAATGAAATACAAATTTTCAATATTTCTTTATTTGTTGAATATAGAAAGCATTATTTTCGAATTGTTTGTTTTAACAATGTCTGTTTATTATATGAATATGGAAATATGTATTTATATGTGACCCTATGATTTTTGACCAATGATTTTTTCTTTTTTTTTTGAATTGATGAAGTAATTTCTGTTGTTGGAAGTAATAATTTTATGCGACTTTGTACTTATTTCTGAATGAATTGTTTACATTCAATACGTTGAAGAAACACGATATTGAATGTTTGTAAATGATAAAAGTCGATTTTATGTTAAGAAATCGTAGAATTTTTATTGGACATTTTTTGGTGAATTGAAATATTTATTAAAAATTATAAATTGTTTTATTATAAATGTATCCGATCTCTTTTTCTCTCTTTCTCGTAATTATTTGATACATCATACTTTGGTCAAGGTCAATCATTAGTGGTTTATATTACTTGTTATTGATCATTTTCCTTATATATCATATTTTTTTTTCCTTATATATCATATTTCTATATATAATTGTTAATTATTTATTTTAATTTCTTGAATTATATAATATATAATATATATATTCAAAACTTTTTTACATTATTTCAATTACAATTTTTTTTAAATTTTGAATTTTAAATTTGATTGAAACATTATAATCAAATTATATAATTTAACTCAAAGAAAGTAATATTATAACGGACCTTTTTACAAGTCTTATCATCTAATAAACGTCGTCTCTCGTAATCTATGAATCTCACAAATGGGGCTGGTTTTATTATTATTGTACATTTCCGTATCGAATATACGAAGGCGTCACCGACCAGTATCTATTTTTATTCATATGCGACTCGTCTGCACATATATCAATAAATAGAGATCAAAATGAAATGAATCTATAAATATCTTAATAAGCATGTTAGTTCCTTTTGTATTTTACTTGAACTTACTTACGATTTATTTGCAATTTGAATTATATATAAATTTTCTTATAATGATATAATTTAAAATTATAGAAATGTTAATTATAGAATTTTAAATTATAAATAAATTTTTTATTCTAAATACAAAATATCTATTACCTTGTCTCTTGAAAGTCTGATTGCATTTCTTTTAAGCAGAATAATTAGTTGTTTCCAAAAATTAGTAGCATAATCAGGAGATCCTTTATGTCGAGTATGAACGTGCTGTATCTCTACCGGAGATCGTTGTCGAAGTGCTTGAAATGAAGCTGTCACGTTCAAAGCAATCACTTCCTCCTGATGATTGACATTGGTTACATTGCTACTTGACCTCCATGCATTATTTTTCCCATTCTCGATAGCATTTATCATTTCTGGTACATATTTGCCATAATCTCCATTGCAGATTTCCATTACTACAAAAATATTTTTTTTTTCTAAACATATTTGAATTTAATCATTATTAATTTTTTACATTGATTAAAAAAAATGAGTATTTTATAATAATTTTCTTAAGATAATTCATAAATTTTTGTATATATATATTATATCTGAGTAATGGAATACTTGTTTTTAATATATATATTATATCGTAGAAATAATTCGCATTTCTTTCTTTTGTAACGTTTTCTTTTCTTTTTAAAAGACGATATTATCTTTACTTTATTTGTATATATTATTATAGACAACATATCAATATGATGAAGGAAATGACACAATGTTTAAATATAACTAATTTCCCATTTACTTACGATAATCAGCCGGATTATAATGAGTTGGACATTGCAAACCGAGACTGCTCAAATAAGGCACTAAATTCTGCGTGCTACCACTATAAACACAATTTCCGTCTGCCACCACGTAAAGATGGTCGATCATATTTAAGAGCGAAGCACTAGGCTGATGAATAGAGCAAATCACTGTTTGTCCTGCTTTTGCTAACTGTTTTAATAACGTTATGCAATATTTTGAGGTAACGCTATCAAGTCCGCTATAATAAATATTGAGTTATATGATCGCTATTTTTAATATTTAAAAAAAAAAATTCTAAAATTTAATATTAAAATTTAATAATTAGATGGATATACTTATGTATATACCTAGTGGGTTCATCGAGAAATAGAATTGGTGGACTATTGATTAATTCTAAAGCAATAGCTAATCTTTTTCTTTCTCCGCCGCTGAGTTGTCCTGTTCGTGTATGACGACATGTATCAAGACTCATTGTAACCAAAATCTGATCAATCTGAAAATGTGTTTATTTTAAAAAAAACTATCAATTAACGAGAGATAGATAAATATATCTGATATATTTAATTCATAATAAATTTAATTCATTTGACTTGTTTAGTATAAAGTAGTAAGTATAAAGTTTTATTAAGTACAACGAAAATTATTCAACTTTTTTTTTAAGTGTAAGTTTTTTTTAAATTTCAATTTTATTTGAATTCATAGAAGTTAAATAAAAAAATAAATAAAAATCATATCTAAAAAAAAATCAATAAATTTTTCTTTTTTAA